GATCACTTTTGCAGAGAAATGTAGAAGTTTTGAAAACTCAAGTTTGAACACAATTTCTGAAGGAATTATTTCCTGAAGAAGTGGTTTGTGTTTCTGTTTAAATATAAGATTTTAGATTATTAAGTAGGGCCACTTATTTTTCTTCTAAATTAGTTGAATTAGATCTTTTGCATTTCTGCTCAGCAAGAAATATTTAAATGTCTATTCCGAAAAATGGAGATGAAAGCACACATTCAGTAGTATTTAGCAGTCCATTTGAGGATCGGGTCACTTTTTGTGCCTTGCTTTTAGCAAGAACAATGGCAAAACTGACTACTCTCAAAGAACACGAAATAAAATCTAATTTATTCCTACAAATTATTTCTGGTTATGCTAATTTCACGTATTTATTTACATGTAGAGCAGACACAAACTCTGAAACAGATGCCTGAAGATTTTCTTAAAGCATTTATATATACTAGGAAATCCTAATGAATTTTGTATGAAAACAGATGTTTGTGGATAAATAAGCCTTTTTGTTTGTTTACGCATATTTCACCAAAAAATCTGTTTAATCTGTTCTAAAAGCATTGAGCCCAAGAAATGGAGAGGTTGGGAGCAGAGGATTTGCTGGGCCTTTTGTCTGAAATGCACCTAGGTTTGCTTCTCTGTTTGGGGGGCTGCTTAGCATTTAGGAGGGGCGAAGCTATTCTTTAGTTCAGGTATGAAAACGTGCGGTCCTTTATATTAATTATTTTTGCTGAAAGTGCGTTGGAGTGAGGGGGCAATGGCTAGTTCTGGCCTTCACTAATGGGAACATTTCAGAATGTGGATGGTAATTAAAGAATAGAATGCGGAAAATTAGGCCAAAATTGAATAGAAATGAATGAGTGTGTGTTCTGTTGTGCAGATGTTGGAAAAAGATTATTTTGGGTACCTTTTTCTATCTATATCTTATTTGGTTACCATGTAAAAACTGGTCCTAGACCATGTAGATTGTTTCTCTTCCATTGCCTTTTCTGTTTTTATGTTGTGATGTATCTGTATAGGTAGTAATTTAGCAAAATATCCTGTCTGCCAGGTGCGGGAACTGGCTGATTGTATTGTAATACCAGATCATTACTTAATTCATATGCAACCTAGCCTAGCACATGGAAAGCATTATAAATCTATTTACAGTGTGGCTGGTCTGATGATAACATTGTATTAAATTCCCAGGTGAGGCAATTTAAGCAATTGCTTTGCCATGTGTAGGCCATGGAAATTAACTTCTCATATGCTTTAGTAATAGACGAACTTCATTGGTATGCTGAGATTAGTAGTACAGCAGAATTCTTACAGTCTGGTTACATGTACCCTACTTCACATGTAGAATCATACTGGGGGGGTAGGGGGTTGGTACTGCAGATCACAGATCTTAATTAGTCTAAGCTGAGTTAATTCATTTCAATTCTAATTTAGCTGGGCTTGCCCAGGAACACATCCAGTTCTGTTGGGAAATGTTAAGGCTTGGGTCAAGTAGGCAGATTGTTTAAAGCCAAATTGCCAGACAGAACTGAGCAAGTGTATCTGTTTGAACAAGGCTTTAAGGAAATCACCCAATCAGTATGCAAAAATCCTGTTCATAAACCAAGAGAGATCTGCCTGGAATCAGAAATTCTTCCTTGTCAGAAGGTCTGGGTACTGTAGTACATTTAAAACAGCCCCTGAAACTTTCTCTGTCTTGAAGTTCTTGCAGAAACTAGCTTAACCCTTTGGTGTCGTGTGGTGTGTTCATGTGCACGCTGCATTTGAATGCAGACATGTACACTGAGTTAAAAACACTTGTGTGCTTAGACTTTTTGTCTATATGTATAAATAAAGGGAAATATAAAATACAAGGGGAGCTTATATATATGACAGACCTTTACAGTCAAAAAACCACACAGAGAACCTCTTAAACCTATATTGAGCTGCCCAGAAACGCCTTGGATTACAAACTCTGTAAAGCTTCTGTCTTTTCTAGAAACATACATATAAAGTACCAGTAGACAGTGGTAACTGACAACTAAGACTAAAAATGTTGACAATTTCTTGATTTGCCTGGTTAGCTTATGTATAGAAGTCATTAACTATTTATAAAATGCATTATGAATTGGGTTCCTTCAAACTGTAGCAGAGTGTGTGACATTTCCAGCTCAAACTATCATTCTCGCATTTGGCTAAAGTACATATTTATAAACAGCTGATAGTTATGAACTAGAAGAAAAAATAATTTTAAAATTATGTAAGTATTGACTTTGGATGAGCCTCAACTAGTTTTGATAGCTGCTTTTAAAAGTGTTAGCCAGTATTACTTTAATAAAAATAAGAATAGTATTTCATGATATTGATATTTTGGACAAATCCTGAAAGAACAAATGATCACTTTAGTTCAAAGGCCTTTTCTTTTATATTATTGATTCATGTGGGAGCGAAACTGTGATCAAAAGTAGTATCAAATTATTTATTGATTATGGCAAAGAGTTATACCTAATTGTAGTCAAAGGGTTATTTCTTTTAATATAATTGCTGAATTTCAGATTGTGACAGATTATTGCAATAAAGGAGCAATAATGCAAATACATTTATTAAGTTCAGTGGTGATGATATAAAGGATTATAAAGGACCTCTAGAAATTGTATTGCTATTAACATTTATTTCTTTCCCGTGAAGAATATTCTTTTTCCTTTCTTCCGTATAGGCTCTTATGAATGAGAATATCAGCCAGTTAAATCTTGCAAATAAATCTTGTGTAACCAAGGACCATTTCAGTCCATACATATAATTAGGCTACTTGTTCACTGGAGAACAAGCTCATGATGCATCATCCTCCTCATCTCAGTCTAATAATGATAAATATATTCAACACTAACAATCAATGGGGCTGAGTCATTTTGTGAAATTGGGAGAGACTGTACAGTTGAACTACTAGACCTCAAATAGGAAGATTGAATCTTAATCAGAAAAGAAAATTAGATATTTATTGGTATGTATTTGTAATTTCCTTCCTTGTTTGATGTATATCAAATGAAAATAGGAAAATAATATAATTGAGCAATCTATGCCAATTTGTTGGCTTTTTGGTGAAAAGAGAGGAAAACAAAACCTATCTCCATATGATATTCTTGCACACTGTGGAGTGTTTTAGTCCCCCATAGTGATGAAATGAATAATTTAAACAGGCAGCTCTGATACCACAGCCTGTTTAAAGGTTCTCATTTCCTTTAATGCTGTAGACTACTTTAGCTTGGTTAGTATGAAACTGTGACAGCTGAGATCTCCAAAAGATTTGGCACAATTCAGCTTTTGTAGTAGATCCATGGTATGCTTTGTCCTTGCTACGTACATCTGTAGCTTTAGTATATAACCTAGAGCTGAACATTAGGGACTGAATCGTGAATTGGTAAGCATTGTAACGATGGTGATGGTAGTAAAGGGTGAACTACACGGAATGAAAATCTAAAATGTGTTGCTCTGAGATGAGGCTTACTTTACTGCAAGGTTCCTAGCGTAATGGACGACCCACTTCCAAACTTGTTCGTCACAAAGGCAATGAATTTACCTGTGCTCAGTGTAATTTCTAGTGAGTTGTTTGTTTCCCGTGCCCCAGTCCTAAGCAGGTTTTTTGGCATGATTGTCCAGGCAGGGAAGGTTTCACACACAGAATCACAGAATGTTAGGAGTTGGAAGGGACCTCGAAAGATCGTCTAGTCCAAGCCCCCTGCCAGAGCAGGACCACCCCACCCAGAGGAGGTCACGCAGGAACGCGTCCAGGAGGGATTTGAATGTCTCCAGAGCAGGAGACTCCACAACCTCTCTGGGCAGCCTGTTTGAGGAGGGATTAGTTCTTGCTGAGTTCCTACTGGCAGTGACTCCAACAGCAAAGCACTAGAGAAGTTCCTGCCAGTAAAGGAAGGCCCCACAGCTCAGTTCTTCTGGCTCTTGAGTTTTCTCCTCTGAGGAAATGTAAAACTGGTCATAACAGCACTCAAATATGAAAAGATTGTAGACAATATGTTGAAAATTCTTTATATCTTTTAATGGTGAGTGTAGGAATATTAACTGACTAAGGGGCTGTTATTTGGCCAACAGAGACATTGAAAGCCGGGCTGATACTCTATGATATTCCCTGTTGTTCCACTGAAATCTCTGCTACCTAGGTAATCTTCAGACATTTGCTTTCCATTGCTTGGCACTTGATCTAGTTTAGAGTCAATCTGAGGATCAGTTCATGAGCAAATCTGATGCTCATAAGCTGTGGATAACGACTGTCTGTCATAACCTAACGAATGACTGTTTCAGTTTCGTGGTCTTTCCATGAACTGCTGGAAACCAGCGTTTCCTGGTACTGTACTGTGCCAATGTTTTCCTATACTGTATTTCTTTTGCCCTTTGATTTCTGGTCCTTTCTTGTTAGGCCTTCATAGTCTTAGCAGCATAGAAAATACTTGTTAATTTTCTACATCTTTTAAGTTCGACCAGCTTTGCCAAATGTGTGTTGTTCAGGTTTGTTTGTTGGTTGGTTGGTTGGTTTTTTTAGCGTATGGGAAAAGCTCAGTCTCCTTTCCTGTTTAGCGGCGTCAGTGCAGTGTTATGCTGAGTTCCACATCCAGCTGGCAAATGTCCTTCAGAAAAATGCGTTTGATTCCTACACATGAATTTCCTCAATGCTTCTGGTACTAGCGTATGTGGCCTCTCCTGGTTACCAGCTTATCGGAACTGGGATCACACATTATGTATCTTCAGCTTCTCTGCAGCTGCTTTCATTGCTGAAATGTTGAGGATGTGGCTGTCTTAGAAATGCTAAGGTTTTGCTGTGCAGATCTGTCAAAATACAGCAGCTGAAGAACTTCTAAATAACTTTTACTTGCAGATTTTTTTAAATTTTTTTTTATCAGATAGGTATCCATTAGGGGGCTCTCGAGGTTTAAGATGATCAGCCTTGATGCCAATGGCTTCGGAGCTTTACTTTCTAACCCTTTTTTCTTTTTGTTTTACAGAAAAGGTCACGAATCGCCTACAGTGATGAGGTGCGGAATGAGCTCCTGGGGGATAACGGGAATTCCTCAGAGAACCAGGTAGGATGCTAATCAAGAAGCCCTAGTGGGTGGCTGGAGGGTGAAGGAGGTCACTGGCACACTGGGCTTCTCAAGCTGCTCCTTAACAGCATTAGCAACAACTCATGTGGAAGTGATACTGTTTAATGCAAAGCTGGGGTCTTAATCAACTTCAAAATGTTTCTTGGAGATCTTACATTTAACCCTTTAACTTGTGATCACTGTCTGCTATCTTAAAAAGAAATCTTTTCTTCTCTTTTCTTTATTATTTAGTACTTAAGAAATAACTTGAAACGCGCTGTTTGCCGGCAAAGCCAAGGTCTTCACCTCAAACACATGTAAAAGGAATAGAAAAAGTACATAATGCAGCTTTGATAATAATGCAGTATAATTAAATCAACACTAGCAGGCAAAACAAATGAAAGTGCGCTCTCAGAATTAGGCAGTAACCCACTCAGTTTCCTTGTGTGATTCCTTCCCTAAACAGATTTTCTCTCCTTGTACCAAAAATACAAGTTGTACTAATAAGAGTGTGCTTTCATAATGCATCTTGTACCAGAATGCAGAGTGCTATCCATCTCTTTTAATAAAGGAGAGCTTGATAATCCTGAGGCTTTTTTAAAGTGCTATACTCGTGGTGTTGTTGTGGACACTACAGTGAGGATTCTGATAGACAGCTGAAAATTGTAATGGCAACATTATATTCAGGGGACTCTGGCCCACCTGTTACTATTTCTTTTGGTACTGAAACTTGTTTAACAATGTCTATCTGAAAGCAGAATATTTTTTGTCTTACTGAAAATCATGTCAACTGTAATCAAAGTTGTGCATTTTGAAGTAGAAGTTAGTTGGAAGTTTTCTTAAATATCAGATTTCCTTTTCTGACCAGATAGAATTTAAGTTATTTTGGTCATTAATTGGGAAAATTGTTTTAAGTGTTTGCTTGATAAATGCAATATTAAATAAAGAAATGGATCAGAACCATGTTCTGACATTTTTAGTACCCTCTACCCTCAGTATAAGCTCAGTTCCACTAAGGACAGAAAATAAGAAATACTTGGAGACTTATCCCACTACAAGGAATTTTAAAACACAGGCCCCTTAAGACTTAACCTTATACTTTATTTTAAGTGTGCTGTATGAATTTCAAACTCTGTAATAGACTTTAATACATGCATTAATAAAATTATACACAGAATACAGTTTATTCACAGGATACAATTTGACTGTAGACATAAGTATAGTGTATAGCAGCATCTATGTGAAGAATTAAATTTAAAAGATATTAGTCTTTATATTTTACAGCAAGGGGAGATTCCAAAATTTGAATAAAATAAAGATTGTTAAGAGAGTTTTTTAACTCTAATAAATTTATGGAAACGGTGATTTTACAGCAAAGAGTCTGCATGTCACGATCATGAACTCAGTCCTGTGAAAGTGTTAAGTTTCTCATTTTATTTCTTCCAAGGCGCTGCTATTTTTACATTTCAAGAAAAAAATTTTGTGAATTCAGACATAAAAGGGCAATTGTGATAAGAAGCTTTACTTATAACAGAATATCTTATATGTAGGGAAGAGATAAAATATTTTATTTTCACTTTTTAAGGAATGGTTAAAAAACTGGTTCATGTGCACTTTTTATGAATTATAGTCTTTTTTCTAAACCTGATGGAAGAAAGATGATCCCATCTCAAGGAACCAGATGATACTTCAACCATTTGTCAGCATGAGTGGTTTTTTTCCAAATGACCACTCCTTAAATGGGAGAAAATTTTGGCCAGTAAAGGAGTTTTATGTAGTCCTTTAAATAATCAAAACCCTTTTATATAAACCAACCTAAAATTGTTACCCGTACACGTTTGAAAATTTTGCATTTCTTTCTTCTCTTCCTTGGAAAATGTTATGAAATATCACCATGAAGGAGTTGCCTAACTTCTTTTAAATATGTGATTGCCAGTATTTTTTTTAAAGAATATTACTTATTGTGTTGTTTCAATCTTGCAATCTCTTTGTCTTATGAAACATCTTTATTTATGTTTGTACTTATCTTACATGCAGTGCAAGCAATACAAGCAGTTACTGCATGAGCTTCAGTCTGATGTTGAGCTTATCGGAATGTACAGCTATCCAAATCGAGTGTAAGGTTTGGGTACTTACCATTCACTGAACATGTTTTATTGAGTTATTTTTTTTAACTCAGTAACCCCAAGTCTAATACACTTTCACTCTTATATGTTATTATATCAATAGAAAACTTGGACTATATGATGACAGGATGCTCAGGTATAACTTACAGCCATACAAAAATATCTGAAGATGTTTCAAATTCTTGGTTTCATTTTGGTTGGAAATAAATTTGTTTTCATTTTTTTCTTTTCATGGAAATAAACACAAGTGGATGAACTGACCCTAATATTGTTGGACTTCTCAGTTAGTGTGCATTAGGTTAAATCAGATAAACTGAAGAATGGTGGGTTTGTTTTCCCCAGTTCAGCCACCAAACTGTAAGGAGAAGAGAGGAGGGATTCTTCTTCTAACATAGGAGTTGTTCAAAACAATTACCAGCCCAAAATTGCTTCTGTACCTGTCCACAAATATGGTTTAAAATGTGCCAGTAGAAATGCTGAATGTCTTGTTAGACTGGGGTCTACCCAATGGAAATGAGAGATGAGCTGCATGTTTTAGGTGTGGTCTTTGTCATCATGATAAACATTTGCACACTGGTTTTGCTGGAAGGAACTTGATGTGTACTGGCTGGTGGGACCATACTAAGTATCTAGAAATAATTGGGGCACTATTAGAAAAAACCCAACAATTTGAGTCTTTCCTTTCTTCAACTTGTTTTTTCAGTTGAGTTTTAAAGGTACAGTTACAGCAAACCACAGCTGAGTTACAAGCTGTAATGAATAAGGTATGAGTTTCCAGTTGTTCTCCCAAGAAGGAAGATATAAGTACAAAGAGCCGATTGAACAATTATCAAATGACGATTTATCTTTCATCTTCTTCATTTTTCCAAAATGTCACCTGTAAGTAGGAGTCATCACGTGTAGCCAGCAAGAACTTAGAATAGTTGCCTTAGAATACTAAGATTTAACTAATTTTTCCGCGTAAAGAATACAGAAACTTCTTACAATAAGTCATACGTATCCTAGAATTCTGCTATTCAAAGTATCTTTTGAAATAAATACACCTCTGTTTAGTGAGACAGGGAGTGATACAGTGCTCTTAATGCACTTAGAGTTTAGTAAAGTCATTGCTTAGTATACATTAATTTCTTCTTAATCTGAGTCATGTGGAAGTAGTCAGAAGAGGCACATACAGAGGTTGAACATCAAGAGATGTCCTTTCTTGCAACAAAAACCCCCACCTCTCAACCCCAAACCCCAAAACCTGCTGTGTTCATTGGGTTGTTATTTGTTTTCCAGGAGTGTTCTCAAATGAGCTCTGTTACTTTCAAGTCTTGCTTGTCATTCTGGCCACCAGCGTTGATCAGATCCCTTGGAAGTTTTGAGTTTTTCAGTGCAATGATACACTACTTAAAGCTATGACTTCACCTTAATAAGAATAGAACTGGCTTATGTGGCAATTCCTTTGGTTTTTAGAAAGTATGTGTTGGATTAAATCAGAAATCCTTTTCGACCAAAAAATAATGTCAGGTACAGTATTCCCAACTTTCTTGAAATGTAATACTGTTCCTTTCTCTTTTGCAACTGTGTTCATTAATAAGTTTAAATAAATTTGCATTAGGTTAAACTGTGTGTCCGGATACACATACATTGTATATGTGATTTGTAGTGAACAAATATTTTCTGGCTACTTAATTTCTGACTACAAAGTTGTGATAATATTAGATTTGGGCTTGCTGTGCATAAAGTATGTCAAACTTCAGCTACAGACCAGGGGGTGAAGTTGGTCAATTTAATTCCCCAAGATCTAAAGAAGGTCGGTATCATTTCATATAGCCCTGGCAGAGCAGATCATTACCAGACACAAATCTGTTCGTTACATGCCGAGGGTTTATAGCAAAATAAATAGACTGTCATCATAAGTTCAGAAAATTGTGTGTTCGACCCACGATAATGTGTAAAGGGCGTTTAATAGAGTTCAGCATTTATTCGTTATCTATATGCGGACAGAGACGGCGGTAGTGTTATCAGCTTTTTAAAAAAAATTTGGTAGTTTTCTCTGTCACGTGACGTGCCTCACAGACACACACACACACGTTCACACACCCCATCTCGCTCTCTGCGGCGCAGTTTTGATTTTAGTCACAGCAGAAGGCTTAGCCACAAGAGATTCCACTGGTTCAAACCAGCGTAAACCAGATTTATTTTTTTTTTTAGCCTACAAAGGAACAGATTACCTCTTGTATCGAATTCTGTATTGCAACAACAACAAAAAAATCCTTGTTTCAAAAATATGCTGATTATCATAACCTAAAATGGTGGCTGCCTACGGCTTACTGCTGTTTACAGTTGAGCAGTGAGCATAACAAAAATAATGTTGCAAAATAGAAAAGGAAAGGTAACATATTTTCATCAGGAGCATTGTTAAATGGGGGAAAAATACATCTTTTGTTAATTTGAATGAATATCTTTCAGCCAATGTTAAAAAACCCCCAACCCTCTCCCATTACTTAGCTTAGCTGCAAATCCCATGCAGAGCTTAAATTCAGCCATGCAGCACAAACAAGATAGAACATTTTTGTTTGGGACCTATTGAAAAAACAAATGTGCAGCATTTTAAAACTCTCATTGATTATAGCAGGGTGGCATGCCCAAACGGGCTCTATTGCGGGAGAGTAGTTTTAAACTTTGGCCCTTTAAGTATCATAGTCAACTGAAGAATGGTGGCCTCAGAAAGAAAAGATAGCGATGTGATCAACTCCCAGATCGTCGCTTTAGAAAGAGTCTTAATGTTTGCCTTTTGGGGGGAAAAAAGGAGGGGAAGATCTGGAGAAAGAGACCAGTTTATGATAGGCCAAGCGCTTGAATTTAAGCGCCGGTTTGGCGGACAATGCTGTTTTCTCATACCAAATTCTAGCAAAGTTCCTTTAGCTACATGCTGAAGAGCCGTTTCAGTTTAAGTCCGTGTGGTAGTAGCCCTCCTAATTACATCTCTTTAGAGCCTTGTTCTCCGTGTTGGTGGTGGGGTGAGGCATATGTTCAGTTTTAGACGAGCCATATGAAACAGTAGAGAAAAATGGAGGTTCTTTTGTTTCCTTCATGCTGGCGAGACTTTATTAGTAGTAAACATTCTCAGCTTACACACGTGTTGAAAATTACTGTTACGAAATTGTAGCTGAAGTATCAGCATAAAGTGAGATAATGATGTAGCTGTTGTAATTTCGAATTCAACTGGAATCGGTGAGAGAACTATAATTTTTTATAGAGCCACTCTTACGCAGACATTTATTGTGAGTAATTATACGTTTTGTTCCAGTACAAATAATTTATCTGTCCCTCTAAGGGGAGTGCATATTACAACGTAGCTTGATAATCAGACTGGGGTTTTATTTAGTTTTATCGTAAACCTACCAGAGCAATATTATTAATAATGTTAGACTATGTTGCTGTACAAACATAAACTGATAAATATAAATGTATATACTATATAAGTATATTCACACACACTATGTGTATATATATGTATACACACACTGTGTAGCAGTCTAGGATTAAGAACCTGGAATGAGTCTTTTCTAAGGGAAATATGTTTCATGTTGTTCCCTCTTCCTTTGTCTACTTTTAGATATGCAATACAATAAAACATAATTCTGAGCCATTTAACTAAGTTGCTTCATTTTTTGTTGAAACTGGAAATAGCTTCTATATGAGGTTCAATAATAAAATAAGGTAATGTAGTTACATTAGAACTCGGGTATATAAAAATTGAAATACTGGTTACATGCTATAAAGATGCAGTCGTCTATTAATAAGTTAGATCTGCTAGTAAAATAAGAAATCAGTTGTCACAACTAAAATATACAGAAAACATTCTGAAAACTTGTATATACAAAACCACTTCAGCTGTACAATCTTCGAAGAGAGGAATAGTAAACTTGTTTTTTTCTTTATAATATAGACTTCTATGAAGTCATTCCCCTTTATTTCATGATGGTGTCTTAGATGTGGTTTAAAAGAGAATTTCACACTATTCTCTTTGTTTAATGTGACAGTGTGAGAAAGTGATCTTTATTCGTTCAAAAAACTCTGCATGTAGTCTATGTTTAGGTTCTTTTAATGTGTTTGTCTGTGATTTTTAAATGCTAAACATGTAAACAGATAAATTGTCAATGTTAATTCTGTATCCTGTCACACAACTGATCTTTCTTTCCTGCCATTTCTTCCCTTTTTATCTTTTTTGTGCGTTCATGTTGCAGTTGATAAAATTACGTGAAGAGGTGAGTACTTTCTTGCTTTTTGTTGTCTAGCTTTCCCTTTAAAGCTGAGTTTCTAAATCTGAAGTAGATCTTTTTGTTCATTGTTGCAGGGAAATCTACACAAAGCAAAAATATTGATTACATTGCTTTAAAATATTCACTGTTGTGCCTCTTTCTCCCTAATAATTGTATACTTACATAGGAATCTCTAGATCAAACCTTAGAAATTAACATTCTTTGATAGTGGAAATTTTTTAAAGGCACTAGAAAAAGAAGGGGAGAAAAACCCCCACTATTATTTGATCTTTGCTAGAATACCATGATCAAATCAGGTACAGTAATAATCATGTTTGCATCACAAAATCTTTGATAGGATAAATACATTTATGCACTGGTATTGAAAGGGAAAACATTGCTTTGGTAAAAACCTGTGCTGAAACACTGTAAAAATGACACAGTATTTCGCAATGTTTTGAGTTTGGTATGAGATATTCAAGTAGCTTATGTATTATATTGGATATTTTATACCCACTGAAAATACAGTACAGGTAGAGCTACACACACATATCAATATTTATTATTTATTTGTGAGTGCTGTAGATCTGTAGATGTAACGCTAGAGATCAGTATTCCAGAACACCTTTCTTCCAGTTATAAAATGACTCATAAATATTTTGAGAGAGAAGCCTGGTTTAATGGTCAGTACCTCAAATGTTTCATTATAATATCTGAAATTAATCTCCTCTTTTACTTAGTGCTGTAGCTAAGCAGGTATCTGAACTGCTTTTTATTATCATTTCCCAATAGCTGCCAAAAAAAAGGTCTCAGTAAAGTCTGGATTACTTACAGGTCAGATTTCTGAAGGGTTTCATACAGAGAGTTTGAACCAGTGAAGTGTTTGAATAAATATATTTAAAAGCATGAGTATTTTAACATCACATATTTGTCTGGTATCTTCTTTTTGAAACGTGTGCCCAGACGTATCAGTAATGAATACTGAGCTCTGCAGGAAAGGATTTGTAAGTTTTAGAAACAGTGATGACAAAGAATTGTAAAGTAGCCAGATTAAGGACAATTACAGGAAATTCTAATAAACAGTAAGATATTTGCGATATAAAAATTCTTTCACTGGTTCCCTGAATGCTTTATTTTTCCTTCTTCTTGTGGAACTGATATTAATATGTTAAAGCTACAGAATAAAACATTTTTTTAAAAAAAATTAAACAAAATAAACATGTAACCACATGAAAGCCCTCCCACCACTGCTGAGTTCCCCTCCCCAATAGCCTCAGCATTTGAACAGATGACAATGTTGTTGCACGGGTTCTATAGCCTGATTTCTGAGATTTTTCAGAAAAAGGTTCTTTTGCTCATCCCTTTATATACTACCTGCACGTCTGCTCCTGTGCTTTTGTAAAAAAAATATAGTAGGATCACTTTTACTTGCAAGCATAGATTATAGTTTTAGAAACACAAAGATTTCTAATTTGTAAATTTACTCTGAAATTTAATCAAATGTAAGGAATGAAGCTACTACTTAACTGCTATTCTTTTTGAAATAGCTATAAAGGCAGATAGGAAAATTCAGGATGTTACTGCACAGGGCTGCAACTTGGGAGCTGTACTGAACTCAGTGGTATCTTATAGAGCTTATAAATCCTGTCTGCTACTCACCTAAAAAAAATTGACATTACTTCTGGTAATTTTCTTTTTTGCTTTTCCTTAGTAGCCTCTTAAGTTGCCTTTTCCCCTCTCTGCATATTGTGAGAGCAGCAGTAAATGGAACTAAATCAAGGGATTTATTGTTTTGTCTAGATCAAAATTGTACTGGCAGAGGGAGAAACAATTTTAAAAACAATTATTAGCATTCTCTTCTCTGCACTTAGGTACCTACTATGTGTTGAATAAGTTGTAATTGCGATGGTATTTTTATACCCGATGCAAAATGCACATTAAAGTTTAAATGAAGGCTAGTACAGTGACTCAGGCGTAATTCTTAACTCGTCACGTAGCGAAACATCAAGGCATCCCCAATTACAGTTCTCCTAAGGAGGTATGAACTGATCTTAAAAGAGATTGTGGTTTGCCGTACTGTTTGTTAATAAAACCTGTGCTTCCTCTCATTACAGGGCTCTATTCCAGCCCACTTGCCGTACACAGGCTTCCACGGAGACTGTGTCGCTCTGTCTTTTGAGCTCCTGAGATCTCAGTTTGAATCCAGCCCACATGGAATGACTAAATCTCTAGTGATAGCATGCCACTTTGCAAAACTTCCCTCTAGAACTCCAGACAGAAGCTGTTTCTGAAGCTACAAGACGCACTGAATCACCTCACAACCCACCTCACGGGGAGCAGAGGATACTGTGGGAGAAGGAGGTTGGGGAGGGGAGGGAAGCAGCTGAAGCATCAGCCGCGACTGTAGGGCATTGATTTCGTGACCAAAGTACACAGGGAGCCTCCAAACCCAAACAATGCAAGTAACACCACCCTTTACAGTATAAATTAGGTTTTGTAATAGAATGGGCTTGGGTTGGAAAGATTCGGAAATGATATAAGTAGTTCCGAGTTAATATTAGCACTGAGTTCATGGGGCTGGAGTATTCTAATTACTGTCAGTAAAACTGAACTGAACTATGGGCTTGTAATTGACTTTTTAGGTTAAATGCGGCTTATATAGTATATAAAATATACAGTTAAATGCTAATTCTTTCCATTGGGTAGCTCTTCCATATTGTAATGTGAAATCTGATTATTTCTCCCCTCCCCCTTAACATAGCAGGGTAGTCTTTTCATTTTCAGTACGCCAGTACAGCACTATACATCTGTTCTGTAATTATAATGTTCTACTCCTTGTGCTCACTCCCAGCCTATGGTGTTGGTTTTTTACAACTATCTCCTCTTTAACTTTTAGGTTTCTTACCTTCTAAACCCATTCTTTAAACCCTCCACCCTTTCTCTTCTACTTCCTTTCTTGAGAGACATCTATGTAATAGTGTTAGGGTTCTGATGTTTTTTACAAAGTTTAAAATATTTAACACTGGTTGTTCTTTAAAATCGTTCAGGGGAGCCAGTATTTGGAGAAAGGCACTGCAGGCTTACCCTTTTTTTTTTTTCCTTCTTGTAATGGGCAACGGAGAGGAACCAGCAGATGTTATCAAAAAGGTGCCTTTTAAAAAAAAATTAGCAGAATTAACACTAATTATCTAGATTGACCATGGATACTAAGAACATACACTACTTTAGTTTCTGTCATGATTTCAATTACAGCATTGTAACTTAAGGTTTTAAATTTTATTAAGTGCTTGTGCTGATTATTTTTTCTTGGTGGCCTGCCCCCCATGAATGCAAAAGGCTTTTTTGCAATTTACTCTTAACCTATCCACTGTGTATTAGACAACTCTATTAATTATTATAGACTGTTATTGCAGCTTTCCTGACCTTCACATTGGGTCCTATCTTGGCTGATCTAAATGCATTGTTTTAATGATTTCCAAAAAAAGAAAAAGAGAGGAGGAAAAAAAAAAAAAGAAAAAAAAATTCAAGGCAAGCTTTGATGTGGCT